GAAATAAATTGTCGGAGTAAATTTTAGGACACTGTATTATGGACTGTTTTATCTATTCTGCGTTCCTACAATTCGGTGCAAAAAACGAAACAGCGAAATACACGACAGCGAAATCAGTCGTAATAATTCTATAAAGCGATGAAAACATCGAGTAATTTGTACTTTTACTTAATAGGTAACGGAACATTGATTACTTACAACAGCTTCACAAAGCAATTTGAAACATAAGTTCTTATAAATTTTTCTTGCCTACTTCATCATCTGAAAATGTTGCATAAATTTGCTGCCAACATTCTGGAACGCCTTGTAAACTTATTCGTTCGTTGATATAATATCTACGACAATATAAAACGATTAGTTGACTAATGATCCTTTTTTCTAATTTTATTCCAGCTATCACTGGTATTTTCTATACTTGCTTCTTCGCCGTGCTGGCTTTGCTCTTTGCTATTTGCATGAAAGGACTGCTAGCTACGATAAATACCGAAAAGCCAAGGTGGATTTTGGAGGAAAGTCTGATAGGAACCAATCCAGGTAAATTCGCATATTCTTATCAGTATGACGAGAATGAAATCACGTGAAAGAAAATTAAATGGTTGCCTTTTATATAAGTGCTGGTCACTTGAACGAACGCCATGCGTGTAAATTATCAAATTTAACGTGGATAACCAGAAGTGAGTAAATATAAAAAAACTATATTTTTGTATCATCATCCACACCTTCACTTTTAAGTTTCCCATTCTAATTGAGAATACCCGGTACTCTACAAAATCGACGAGGAAACGGAAAATTGAGCAATGGTTATCGTTGTTCAACCATCTCGTTCTACTTTTTTAAGGCTGTATAAACAGCTTGAAGAAACAAGCACCTTTAACTTGTACACAACGTAATCGTTGTGAAAGTGCTGCAAACGAAATAAATACAATAGATCCTCGCATAACACGGGTATATGTAACACGGATTCGTATAATGCCAGGTCCACACTGGTCAGAAATGCTCGCGAACAGTTCGCAAACTGCTCGCAGATTGTTCGTGGACAGAATACAAGCAGTTGCAGAGTTCAGCTCGCGAACAGTGAACACTGAGTGAACACTAAGAACTGAGTGAACAGTGAGTGAAGAATAAGTGCTGAGTGAACATGAGTGTATGGAGTTTTCAGCACGAGGCCATGCCCAAATTGCCCCCATGGGCGTGGAATTCAGATACGTTACCACTTCTTCCTCGCCGCGGGAAACACGCTAAAGGAAGATGCACAGAGTGAGAACTAATTTGTGCAGACAGAAGAAGCTCGTCACCTCCGATCGAAGAGATCGATGTGAGAGGGGACCGCTCCCCTACATTGCTGCGGACCGAGTAAGTAGGGGCCAATTTGTCACCTCTGCGCTACAGGATCGAACGAATCGACTTTCCACGCTCTCTACCAATTCTCCAGATTGGTACCGGAGCTGTTTTGGGACACAGCTCACTCGCCGGCAGCCTGGAAAAAGGGCCACCTAACCAGCGTCTGGCTTTAAACCAAAGCACCCTCGAATCCAAACAGTAGCGCGTTTATAAGACCACGGGCAAATTTGAATTTGGTGGCCCCATGTACAGTGGATGAGGTTACAAAGGATTGGTCGTGCAATTGCCCCTTTTGCCCATAGGATAACGCACCACTGAATCCAACACCAACTCGGCTAGCCCACGAACGGGAGAGCAGGAAAGAGCATCCGCCCAAACGCAGCCGGAGAACCACAGGGAGGGTAGGATACCCGCCACAGCCCTGTTGCATGGCTTGGAAAACTTGGCCATCCTGAGGTATCGTCATATATTTACATATATCGTCGGTGGGATTTTCGTGGCGGACGGACACACACCGCTCCTATTTGAGGGACCTCAATCCTCTCACTGGTCGATCAGCGATTCAGGTACCGGGGGTTCGCTAAGCCCCTAGGCACCCTTTTAGGTACCCCCCTGCGGGAGCACTGACTCTTGTAAGTGAACACTAAGCACTGAGTGAACAATGTTCGCAAACAGTGAGTGTCAATATTTAAGCGTGAAATTAGCGCGAATGCTAACTCTGCCGTGCCCAAGTTTGCGCTTATACCGGCCGGTGTTGTGTTTTGCGAGTTACCACTGTCAAGAGACACGCATGTAGATGTTTTATGCGGCGGTGCCTGGAAAATACCTTCTTCACCACTTAAGGGTCACTAGAAGGGAAACAGTGAGTGAACAGTGGGCATTGAGTGAACAATGTTCGCAGCATGTTGCTCGAGGTTCACGATCTGTTCGCGAACATCAGTGTGAACCCGGCATAACACGACGCAAAAATTGTGACAGTGTTCGTATAACACAGTGTATTTACATTTTCACAATGCAGTAAAATCCCGATAATTGACGATATATTGTATTATATGGTAATTGTTTTATCATGTAGATACTCTAAGGAACTATTAGGACACCCTGTATGCATCTTTGCTTTATCGACCAATTTAAAAAGTATCGTAAACATTTTTACTGTACGCTAACGGGTGGACCATCTCTTCATGTTGGATAGGTTTAGGATTTCGACCAATCTCCGAGATTCCTGAAGAAAAATCGTTAATTTGGTATAGCTCGTCAGATCCTAGCTCGGTGCAAAAGTGGACTGGCCTGTTAGATAAGTTTTTAGAAGGTAAATTACATACATTGAACTATAATCAGAAAATTGCATATAAAACGTTGTACATGCATATTAAATTGGAAAATTGTCTTAATATTGATATTAACCATTTTCCGCAGAATATGTTAATTCATCCCTGTTACCAAATGGTGGTAGAAATCAACAAATTTGTAATTATAACACGCCAGTTAAGCCTGGACATGTTTGTGCGGTCGAGGTGAACAACTGGGGACCTTGTTCGCCTAATCAACAATATGGTTTTAATAACTCGGCTCCATGCGTCTTTATTAAATTAAATAGGGTAGGTTATACTATATATATGCATATTATACAGGGTGGACCACGTAAAACAGACCACCTAATTATCTTCTCTATTTAGCTATGGTGGTACTTCTCTTTTGCCATCTTTTTCTGTTTTTTTTTTCTTTCAAGGTCACCTACATATGTGTTTTTACATGAATGTGTTATTGTTGTATAGTTACCTAATTTACCACCCCACGGTATACGTCGGATAACGCCAATGCAGGGGGCGCGCCAAATTTGAAGCTTAATAACTCAAAAACGGTTTATGCAAAATACATGTTCAGGTAGTGTTCTGAAAACAGTTCGATATCAACTACAAAAATACAAGATTCCATTTAAAAGTTAAAACGTAACCTTCACAGGACTCTCCAAGACCATCGCAATGTCAAATAATTATTATCACGATGTGTCCCCCTTGACACCGTACAACATTTGTCTGAAACATTTTTTTGTATTTTTAATACTCAGGAAAATAATCGCGTGTATACATACATTTAAACCGGACATACTGTATATATATTTTTCTACTGTATGTTGCAGCAGACATTGATGTAGATTTAAATATGCATAATGATATGACCTTAAAATGATCTTACACACTAAAATTTGTAATCGAATGTAAAACTTTCTTTCATTTTTTACCATCTCTTCCATCGAAAAAATTTTTCTTTCGTCCTATTCACCGTTTGAAACCATTTAATTTACGTATAAAAATGTCCTCCATAGCTAGAGAAGATAATTAGGAGGCCTGTTTTACCTGGCCCACGCTGTATATTAAAGACGCAGTAGCGGTGCGTGTAATGCAGAGTGGTGAAATTAATTATACACATTTTCTTATAAAATTACACAATTCCAGAAAATTATAGAAAGTCATAGGAAATATCCTCTGAAAAATAATTACCATTCAGACAGAAACATGTCTGTCGAACAATTATGTGCAATGCAAAGGGTTACATAAGATACGATCCTACTAATGATGTAACGTAAAATCGATAATACAATTTCACTTCATTGAAGATTCATGAATTTATCTAATCTAATCTGTAATAATGAGAGGGGGGATATACCGGGAGCTCGATCCAAGTGGACCATTAATTTATAGCTACAGCAAATTCATTTATGAACACTTATTTACAGATATACGGCTGGATACCGGAATGTTACAACAGCACAAACGATTTGCCAAGTGATATGCCAGCAAGCCTCGTTCAACACATTAAATCCGTCAACAGTTCACGGGTTAGTTAGTCAGTCAGTTAATTGCGCCAGTCGGTACTTAAAAAAGATTTCAAGTTACCATATGTAGATATATAGCATTACATTAAATCATTTGAATAATTTTGTTTATATGTCTATGATAGAATTTGCACGTAGTTAGAACGATTGAATTTTACGTTTAAATAGGTAGATAAAATTAATCGTCTAGTTTTTCTCTATTTTTTCGTCTTTTTTTTTTTATTGCAGTTGAATACCATATGGGTATCCTGCGCAGGCGAAGATCCTCACGATCATGAAAATATCGGTGAGATAAACTATTATCCTGAAGATCATGGCTTTCCAGGGTATTACTATCCTTATAAAAATATACCTGGTTATTTAAGTCCCGTTGTTGCTGTGCATTTTCTTCGACCAGCAAGTAAGTACACTGCACGCATTTATCATCTAAATAGACATTTTAATTCTCGATTCTCTGGACTGTATAGCTTTCACAGGAATATATATTTTTGTTCACTATCTTCTTAAATAAATTTTTCTGAAATTGTGTCGTTGGTTACATACAATATTCTCAATGCTCGTGTAGATGTTCTTTTTTTGCATACTTAGAAATAAAAGGTTTGATACTAATTATAAAACTGTCTAGCTAAATTTTCCAGAATTTCATCTTATAAGCTAATTATAATCTGTAGCAAAAACAAGCACAGAGTACATTCTACAAAACAGCCTTATGTAACATGTGCATGAACTTCCATATGTTAGTCTTAATCTTTTGCAGTTCTGTGACGTTTCTGTGAAAAGTATTGGCACAGCATAGTTGTGATAAAGCAAATACATACTTATAGAAACTGATTTAAACAATCAATTGTTCAATATATCCTTATACTACCTATTCTAGTTTATTACATAACAAGAAACAATAGTATATAAACAAAGTGGTGCATAGAATAATAACAAAAATATGGATCTTGAACACTTTACAGAAGGATAAAAGTGTTGATGCAGAAAATACGACGTACAATATCTTCAGAAAACTTCCGGTTGTCATTTTGAAATAGCGGTAGGAGGATCTGCCGATAATCATTTTTTTCTGCTACTCGATCAGTAAAGTTAGAGACCTCGGTGAATGAACAGGCGAAGAAGTAAAAAAACGTAACAATGACTGGAAAAGTGAAAGAAACAACAAGTGAAGAAAGAACAATTATACTAAATTTACACAACATGAACAAATCGTACAGTGAAATTGCAAAAATTGAGAAGAAAAGTTGTTCCACTGTCCGTAGTGTCATAAAACTGTTTCACAGTCGGGCATGCGTTGAGAATCTCAAGAGAAGTGGTCGCCCTCCCAAGCTATCAACCCGAGAAAAAACAGAAATCGAAGATATAGTAAAAGAAAATCCAAAATTGAATTCATCTGAAATTGCAGTTATGATAAAAGATAAGTATCAAAAAGAAATAAGTTCCAAAACTGTACAAAGAATATTTAGGGATACCGTTTACTCTGCCGGTAAGCCATACATGAGTAAAATAAATAAAGTAAAAAGAAAAGCATTCGCGAAAGAATTTGTCACAAAGAATTCTGAATTCTGGGAAAAAGTATTGTTCTTAGACGAAAGCAAATTTAATATAAACGGGAGAATTCTGGATTGGAGAAAATCCAATACGAAAATGGATTCGCGTAATCTACAAGCCACTGTGAAACATCAAGATGGCGAATTAATTGTTTGGGGATGTATGGCAGCGTCGGGACTCGGAGAACTCGTATTTATCGACGGCACCATGAACGAACATCTGTACTTAAATATATTGAAAGAAAATCTTTTGAAAAGTGCCGAAAAATTGAATCTTCCTAGGAATTTTTACTTCCAACAGGATCACGATCCTGTGCATGCGGCGTATATCGTTCGCCAATGGAGCGTATACAATACTGCCCACATTTTAAACACGCCACCGCAAAGTCCGGATATGAATCCGATCGAGCATTTGTGGGATGAATTAGAAGAAAGGATGAAAAAGCATAGTATAACGAGTAAAATTGAGCTAAAGAATGTTCTTCTGCAAGAATGGAACAGTATTAAACCGGAATTTACAAAAACTTTAGTCCATTCAATGCCCGCAGTGCTAAAAGAAGTTCTTAAAGCGAAAAATTAACAACAAAATAGCAATACACTATTTTTATTTATTTACAAATGTTATTATTATTTATAAATGCTGAAGAAATATATTTTTCTTATCACTTTGTGTATCACTTTATTTACATTACTGCTTCTTATTATACAGAGTGAATCACGTAACTTGTGCACGCTGGATAATTTTTAAAAGTATGTGTTCTACGAGAAAGTGTTTTACACAGGATGTCCCAGTTTTCTCCGATCAAACATTGCCACTATGTTCTATGGGAACAAGTATAAACATAGGTTGTTTGAAACTTTATTAAAAGGATGTAACAATAATGCGAAATACGAAAGGAATGGTAACGGATGTGAGGTTATGATACAAAATAGAAATAGATCAACGTTATGTATAATACAATCTAATTTATTCATAGGAGCTGTGTTTACGACCTGAGGTTGTCGAAGGTGTTGAATGTAATTTCTGCCAATGCCATTCTTGTATCGTAGTAACCGCAAGTTCGTTATCATTTCCTCCGTATTTCGTATTTTTGTTATAATTGTTTTACGAAGCTTCAAACGACCTATATTTATATAACAGTTTTTTCTTACTTATACTCGTAGAAGATAGTGATAAAATTTGATAGAGAAAAGAACTAGGACACCCTAGTTTTTAGTATATAAATTGCAGGGTATTGAAGGGAGCATATGATGTTGAAACGGTTTGTTTTAAATAACCTCTGTTTACCAGATGTCAAGTTGATCTTGAATTTTTTTTAACGGAATGCGTACCTTTTTGCGCTAAAATTTAAAAGAACAGGTTATTTTCTATAAGAAAGTATTAAGTTTTATTTACCCTCAACCTAATAATTGACGAGATATTTAGAAAAACGTTATTCATAGCCTCACTGCTTACCTTATAGAAGGTGGTCAAAGTGAAATCCGTTGCAATCCTATAATACCTGTGCAATCTATTAATTAAGGATAGAAATCTTCCATTTTTTTATCATTCCATAATTTGATTCTAATTTTTTCTCTAATAATCGTGTAATTTCTATAGAATTCAAATAATTTATAATTTTATATAATATAAAAAGGTAAGCATTCCGTTTAAAAAATTCAAAGTCACGTTGATATCTCGTAAACAAATAGGTTATTTAAAAAACCGTTTCAGCGTCGTATGTTCCATTCCATACCGTGCAATTTCTATATAAAACACTTTTTTGCAAAGTGTTAGAAGTTATTCGGGGTGGACAAGTTATGTAATTCACCCTGTATAATAAACTAGATGAAATACGGAAATGTCGAAAAATTTATTCTTTAAATAAAGTTTTTTAACAACTGTAAACATTTGTATCACAACAATTATGTTGTGCTAATACTTTTTATCTGCACTGTATATTAATATAAATGAACAGAACGTTGAACATAATTCGGACGACAAAGGTTTCGCTGATCTTAAAACAAACAATTGAAAAACGATCGTTTCAATCCATAGGTAACAAAAACATAGAGACCTCTCTCATATTTTCTAATTTAGTTACCTAATATTAACCAAACCTTGCATGTAACAAACACATAATACATTCCAGCTAAAACCAGTAAAATCCAGTGCATTGTGACACAATATAGGCTGTTGAAAGGTGTCATCGACTAAACCTTCTTAAAATAACACACACATGTCACCTCGTCGCGCCACTGGTTTCATTACCTGAAACACTGTGTATACCAACAATACAATACTAAAAAAGCATACTTATGAATACCATACTAGGAACTTTTTGAAAAAAAATTTTAGAGAAGTCTATACTTCAATACAGAAATCTTGTTTGCTGTTCGGAATAATAAGAATTCCCTTATTTTAAATTATAAATAATTTGACAGGAAAAACTGAGTAGACTTTTCAAAATTTAGTAACTTCATAAGATAATTTATTTTCCAGGAAATAGAATAATCAGTGTTGAGTGCCGAGCTTGGGCGAAGAATATAAAATACAGTCCATTGAAACTGGACAAACTTGGCTCGGTGCACTTCGAGCTTATGGTTGACGAATGATCGTTCTTATCTTTGTAAGAGATACAAAATAAAATTTTTTCTCTTCGGACGCGAAATCATCTGCCCAGTCACGTGGACACCTACCATAGAAGATGCTCTTTGGAAGATGCACTATCAAACTAGGGAAACTACTCAGCAAAACTGTGGTAAAAAAAATGTATAAATAGACATATTGAAATTTCCAATTGGTCAACGACTAGGAAATACATATTTGCGTTCAGAAGAAGATAAATTGGATTCAAAAAGATATGATAGACATGTAAGTAACAATCGGAAAATCCAGTCATTCGATTTGGCAGATTCGCCTCACGTCTGCACCTATTCAACGGTTGTTTGCGTTTGTCTAACGTTAACAAACGTTACTGCAACGTAAAGTAATCATTGAAAGTTATCATGATTATAGAAATAGAATATAAATAACATTACGGCACAATATTATTAAAGTAGGTAAAGTTTTGTACATATTTTAAAAGAGAAAATATAACTACTGGTACTTATTACGAATTAATATTTTAAATGGTTTCGATAAATCTATTTTTTATATAAGATATTAATAAAAAATTTTGAGGTCATATACAGTTCGTAAAAAGTTTGGTAATATTAACGAAGTAATGTTCATAGCGTTATTATGCAAGTAAAAATCAAACCGAAAAGAAACGCACATGTATAGTAATATGGAGTATCAGTTTCTTTCATTCTTTTGTGATTTATATAAATAACAAAACGTAAAGAAAAATGTAAAGAAACACGTTATTACCTCATTACCTATTTAATTTTTTGTATTTACATTGGATTTTGTATATAGAGTGCTCACTTTCTTACCAGCTACTGTTGTCATAAATCATGAAGATATGGAAATAATAAAATAGAGAAACGTTTCATTACTTTCTATAATCAGTGCGATTAATTATATCAGTTTTCTTTAATTTGTTCTAACTTTTGAGCAGTGGAAGTGATCTTTAATTTTTTAAATGGCAAGTTTTGCATTGAAACGCGAAATATTATGCTACACACCCCTATCGATAACAAGTAATGCTTCCAGTATCACGAAATGCACAAATTATTTTTTTCGTTTCTAAATAAATATTGAATTCTGTTAACATGTAATACTAGAAAATATAACATTTCGTATAAAATTGTAAAGAACAGCTTTTATTATTTACTCATTAATAAAAAATTAAAAACAATTAATGTAACTATCGTGTTGCTCATAAAATCTAATGCAACTTTTTCTACTTCATGTTTTTACCACTTACAAGAATAACGCTGGCTAGTAATAATGTATACACCTTGTATAGTACAATTAAATAATTACAAATATTTTACTCAGGATAAATAAAAAAAATTGAAATTGTTTTTAGTATATGTAATTTAAATTTTCAATTAGTTAATCTTATGTATATAACACAGTTAAAAAATTAATTAGCGCAAAGGGGTGGAAAATTTCCATGAGATCGATTTTGTAAATTCATGTTGGAACAAATTAATGTTCTTTTTAAATGATACATATAAGAATCTGTCGATAGTCTTTTCAATAATATTTTTATTATAACCAATTCAGATCAGATGAATTTTACACTGTCTATAAAATTTACTACAGTAAGTAAAATATATAATTTCCTTTTCTACCTGAAATACATATTGCAGACGATACGTTTAAACATGAAACAATTAAAATCAACCTATCTGACAATTTAATAATTAAGAAGAGAAGCTAGAAGGGAATATTAGTATGACGAAAATATAACATTAAGCATCATCAATTATTTGACGAATTATACTTAGATGTAGGTACTTATTAAATTTATGTACTTATGTCGTTAAAAACGTTTTCTGTACAAAGTTGTTTAAAGTATTTTAAGCTGGCATGATAATTATGTATTCCACTGTATAAATAAAAATAACGTTTGGAAGTGAACAGATACTAGGTAATAATTTTGTACGATTAATTATAGAGTTTTATTACCCTAAATTAATTATCAACGACACATTATCAATTTTTTTAAATCACTCATAAATAATATTACAGTATATTGCGATCTTCTTTTATTATTTTAATATCAATTAGTTATTTCAATATTAAACGTTTTCGATAAACACGGGGCAAAATATACTACTTATTAATATAGTAGGAAGTAATTATTAATTATTAATTGAAAATCAATTTTCTCATAACAGAATTTTATTTTTGTCAGTCCCGTATAATTTTTTCCTTCATAAAATTACGTTTTCTGCTAATTATTGCTTCATGTACACGCGCAGTTGACTGACAACTACAATAATTTCACATATCAGACATAATTAATACTTATCAAAACTAAATTTACTTGTAACTCATTAATGAGAACAAAATTAATTTCTATACAATTCTAGTGACAGATTGTTATTTACATTAAATACAATAAATGCACAATAACATTTCCATTGTATGTACTTAATGCTTCAATTAACATGATAATTACACAAACTAATTATACATATTCAAGGGATTTCAGAAAGAAGAAAATAAATGTTTTATCTTCTATAAAACGATGATATATTTATTTTTCAAAATGCGAAACTGACTTCCTGTCTACTTACTATATTCATTATAATGCAAATACTCAGCAATTATAATATTATTTCTGTATTTTATATGATTATTTAAGTGCAATGATAAAAGATAATAATAA